CTCTTAGTTGGGTTTTTATAGCCATGATAGAACACTCTGGCCAAAAGCAACTTAGAGAAAATAGGAAAGAGTTTATTTCAGCTTTTATATCCCCATCACAATCCACCTTGAAGGTAAGTCAGGGCATAACTCAAGACAGGAACCTGGAGGCAGGAAATGAAGAAGACATCACGGAGCAGTGCTGCTTACCATTTGTGTCACAAAGCTTTCTCAGTGTGCTTTTAGCACCAAGGACCGCCAACCAACGTGGCACTGTCAACAGTGAACTGGGCCCTCCAACATCAGTCATCAAGAAAATGCAACATTGGCTTGCCCACAGGCTACTATGGTGGGTATATTTTCTCAGTTAAGTTTCCCTCTTTCCAAATGACTTTAGCTTGTGTCAAGTTGAAATAAAATCAGTAAGTTCAGAGTCTACAGAAGCAAAGGAATTAGCAGGAGCAGCAGCAGCAACAGCATAGATGAACTTGCCAGAGAGAGCAAAAGCCTTCCATGTCTTTCATATACTTTTGGGCCACTACCAGAAGGTGATACACATATTTAGGATAGACCTTACCATATCAATTAAAGCGATGAAGACAATCTCCATAGCCAACTCCACAGGTCAGCCCAATGTAGTCAGCCCCTCACTGAGACTATCATCTCAGGTTGTTTCAAGTTGACGATTAAAATTAACCACCACAGGCAGAAATCAGACACTTTCCTTTTGTTGGTGTTACTGGTGATCACATTTGCCTGCCTACCAAATTCTATTTAAAGAATTGTTTTTGGAAACATAATGGGGAGAGATCTGAGAAGAGCAGTTGAGACTTCAGGGTTTGTGAGCTGGATCTCTCTCAGCATATTGGCAGTGAGGGCCCTGTCTCTAGTAAATGGAATGTGGGTATCATTTGATATTGGGTAGGTGACCAGTTATTGAAGCTCTTCACTGGTCAGTCACTGAAAGTAAGCTGTTGAATTAGACTGGTATTCACTCATTGGTGAGAGTCCTAAAAAAACCAAAAAACAGGAACTCTAATGGCATTGAGAATGGATGGGTACTGTAAAGCTCACAGCTACCCTGGAAAGCAAAGCAATAAATGAAATGCTGCGGGTGACTGAACACCAAATGTGGAAGCCAGAAGACTTTTCTGATAAACACCCCTGTGTGTCAGGAAGGCAGAGGACACAACCTTAGTGGTGTGGCCGAGCTCCAGAAAAGGTTGTATGTTCAACCAGTGCAGGCAGGTTATGCCATGCTCATAGCATGGCTAAGAAAAATAAAGCACCCAGACACATGGGCAGAGACTATCTTAATGATCTCCCTTTAAGTTTTTTGGCCCCAACTCTCTCTGAAAATGCAGAAGCAGATCATCTCCTTGTTGAAGAGCAAAGTTTTTCTCCATAAGACTTCATATGCTCCCTCAGGATTTTTCTTTCCTTTTATTATGGTCAGTAGGTTTATAATTAGAGCTAACTCCTAACTAATACACCCAGCCAGGAATGTGCTGGCCCCCATATGGCCTAATATCTTCAAGAAGAAATAATTCTATTATTATGTATTATTAGGTGTTGGTAGAGAATATGTATGTCTGATTTAAGAGATCATTTATCCTGTGTTGCTTTCTGTTGCTGTGATGAACATTATTACCCAAAACATCTTGGGTATGAAAAGGTTTACTTGGCTTACACTTCCCTGTTATAGAATTGTGAAATGGGTTGGTATCATTTGCAATATATCACAACATGAACTTGACCCATACAGTGTTGGCCATTAGCCATGTCAAAAGATAAATGCTTGGGCAAAGAGCTCAGAGTGCCATGTTATCCTCCAGTTTTGGACCACTGACCATTCTTTAGCTTTACAACTGTGAGTTGACTATGAGGAACAAAAGCCCTGTGCTTGGTTTCTGAATGGGTCAGGTGAGTAGGAAGGTTAAAATGAAAGTGGATGGTGACTCGTTACTAGTTATGGTCTTAGCAGTGGTAACAAAAAGGGATATTTTTTCTGCCTGTGGGTGGAGTTAAGGCAGTGCCTTCAACAACGTGTCATTCACATGCCTTCATTACATCCTAGCTTATCTATTCTTCTTGGACCTGGCCAGTCTGGTAGGAAAGTCACTGCCTATGAGACTATACTCTGTTAATGGGGACATTCCCTGTAATAAGCAAGAAGATACTCTGCTTGAAATTTGTCTAACAAAGTAACAACAAAATTAGCTAACTCTTTTTGAGCCACCAAAATTCATATCCTAAACTGTGATTAATTCTTGTGCTTGTTATGGAATTAGATTAGGGGTTATTTTATATGTAGCACACTATTGCAAAAATAAAACCCAAAGTCATATATAATAATAACCTTCATAAACAAGTTTGATTCTGTTTTTCTTACAAAACTATTTTTCCAGCATCATTTCTCTTGACTAGCATCTGGATGTCATTTTGTTCTTTCATAACTCTTACACAGTTATGCTTTCTAAAACATCTTATACTTAAGGATGATTTTGAAAAGACTGAAATATTTGTTGTAAAATAAATAGTTTTGGCTAACTGAAAAATTAGTTTGGCATTTCCTTAACTTACATTCCAAACAACTAGTTTGATAAATTCTGGGTTTGCAGACAAATAGATCTGACTATCCATTTGAATATCAGAAACAAGACAAACTTATTCAGCTTTGAAATGCAGCTCATGCTTAAATTCATTGTTGCTACATTTTTGTTATTAGTTTCTCTTTTTGATTAGTCTCAAGTTAATTCATACCTTTTAAAAAATTCAAATGCTTCCTACAGTCTTTCCTCTCCCTCTTCCAGTAGGGTTTCCTGGTCTCCCAGAGAGGGACCTAACAGAGACTTTCAATTTAGACTCTCTCTCTGCATAATGTTTGGCTGTGGATCTCTGCATCTGCTCCTATCTGCTGCTAGAGGAAGCCTCTTTTTGATGACTGGACAAGGCACTGATAAATGAGTATAGTAGAATATCACTAGGAATCATTTCATTGATTTTTTTTTCCAGTTGTGTTTGGGTCTACCCTAGGACTCTGGGCTTTCCAGCCTTTGCTTCCTTGCCATGCAGGCAGTATAGGTCATGGGCTCCCTCTGTTGCCATGGGCCTCAAGTTAAACCAAGTTATTTGTCTACTCCCACATGTTCTGCACCACCAATGAATGCCCCAGCACATCTTGTAGACAGGTCATATTTGACTCATTTGCCTGCTCTTGGAACTCTTCTCTTATTGGGTTGCCTTGTCTAGCCTCGATATAAGGGCTTTTGCCTTGTCTTGTTTTGTTGTGTTTGCTTGTCTTCTCCTGGAGGTCTGCTTTTTTCTGAAGAGGAAATGGAAGAGGAGTGGATCTGGGGGAGAGGGGAGCTGTGGGTGGGGAGTTGGGAGGAGTGGAAGAAGGGGAAACTGTGGTAAAGATAAATTGTATGAGAGAAGAATCTATTTTCAATAAAAGCATGCCATTTTCTTCTTTTTGAGTGCAAAAAAATGATTTTAATTCTAAACTTTTTAAAGAAAGCACAATTATTCACTTATGACATTAAATATTAGTCTTCAAGCACTACTTTCAAGAACATTCATACTTTTAGAACTATTTCACAAAACCATGTGTTCCATTATGACAAAAATATGGGAGGTTTCCCTCCATCATACAGATAATAAAAATCAATGATATTATGATGTCTAAAAAGTAATATTTCAGCCGGGCAGTGGTGGCTCACGCCTTTAGTCCCAGCACTTGGGAGGCAGAGGCAGATGGATCTCTGTGAGTTCGAGACCAGCCTGGTCTACAAGAGCTAGTTCCAGGGCATCCTCCAAAGCCACAGAGAAACCCTGTCTCAAAAAACGAAAACAAACAAACAAACAAAAAAGTAGTATTTGAGGTCTTTCAAGGTTGACTGGTGGGTTAAAGCATTTGCTGACAAATTTGACGATTTAAGTTAGATCCCTGGAACCCACATGCTGGAAGGAAAGAACATCCACAAGTTCTGATCTCCATGAGCACAGCATTGTATGTGTGCATTCATATACATATACATATAAAATAAAGAATATTATTTGAGAGGCTGGGGGGGGGTGGATGGCTCAGTTAACAAAGCGCTTGCCACATCAGTATAAGAACTGAAGCTAGAACCTCAGCACCTACACAAAAAAAAAAAAGAAAAAAGAAAAAAACTGGCCATAATCCCAGCACCATGGAATCCTGGGGGCTCAGTGGACAGCCAAGTGTAATTGAATTGGTGAGCCCCAGTCCTAGTGAGAGACCCTTACCAAAAAGATAAAGTCAATGTCTACTGACTTGGCCTCTGCTGTCCACATGTGTACCCTCCCTCTCAATTCTGAAGTTTCAACAATACTTGAAAACCCAACAAGTCATGCAACATAAAAATAAAATAAGCATCTAAGGGTTATCTTTTTCAGAAGTAATGATTATTTTAAAATAGCTCAGATTTAAAAAGAAATAAAAATGCATATTTCTTAAAGGAAAAATGGCAAAATCACTATAAATGTCATAGTTTATTACATTATGCTTTGTATTATGTTTCATTTCATATGTAATAAAAGTTCTCTAAGGAAACATAATAAAAAATCACTATTAGGATTTTTGTATAGCTTTCAGTGATTGTTCGTGCAAGAAAAATGAGAAATCTATGTAGCTCCCCAGAAGTAATCCTGCATGCAATGTTATCCAATGTCTAGTTCAGTGACTCAAAGCAAGCAAAAATCTAATTTCTTAGTGAAAAAAATTAGTAATCATAAAATAAGATATGAATGCTCTATTACTTATTCACAATTCATAAATCTTGAGTATTCTCATTAAAACACTTATGGCTTAGTCTCCCATGTAGCAAGGTGACCTCGGTAAGCTCAGTAACATGTTCAGAGACAGGCAGGCAAAAATGACAATAGATTATTTTATATACATCTGTCATGAGCATACATCAACTCTTATGTTCTACAAGTAAAATATTTTGTATATTAAAAATTCGAAAATTTCTGATGTAATAAGAAGGCTTTTTTCATAATTGAATTCCTTCCATTATTAAAGACAGAGCAGCACTTTGTGTTTGTGAAGCAGGGTGTGCAGGTCGTCTGGGTGGACGACTATATTTTTTTCTAACTTTCCCTGTGGAATTGGGATGTCTTTTAGACAAACTAAGTCTTGCTGTTCCCCAGTTGATAGGAAGATTGAAACCTTCTGTAGGTAAGGTACTTGATCTCTTGTCTTGTCTTTCTTTAGCACCGAGAGATTTCTTTCCATTAGAGCTCACATGGTCACAACCTCTCGTCTTTTGACTCTGGCCAGTGTGGTATTTTTCATAGACTTGTGGGCTTTCCCTTCCAGGAAGACAAATAATACTCTTAGGAACAAGGGAGGGAAGGAATGTTTGAGATGGTGTTTGCCGAAATGATCCAGTGGCTGGATCCTCTAGATATGGGGGAAAGTGCTGACTAACTTTATACCCATAGACTAATTTTCTTGAATCTGAATTATCTAATTTGACTGAACATAGGTCATCTATTGTGATATTCTGATAGTCGTCTGATGGATTTTGCAATGTAGTCAATGTTTTAGAATTACACTGAGGAACGCTAGGTAAAACTCCAGTTCTATTTTGTTTTAAAACTAACCCAGTGCCGGGAACAAAAAATTTTGGCTCTTGCTGCTTTGACAAATGGGTGATGTCTTTGTTTGAAGCCAACTGATGTGTTTGTCCATCCAAGGTGGTGCCTTTCCAGAGCAGTGGGTTGTATATGACTTGTCTGTCAATAGGGCATGCATTGCACTCGTGGAATAACCAATTGTCAATACATTTCCTGTGAAACTTGAAACAAAAATGTTGTAAGTTAATCAGACCTACAGTAACACAACTTGCCTAAAAATTGCCAGCCTAGTTGTATATTGAAACTATTGAGCATAGGAGAAGGAATTATTTTAAGATTTATTTATTTATTATGTATACCATGTTCTGTCTGCATATATGCCTGCATGCCTGAAGAGGGCTCCAGATCTCATTAAGGAGGGTTGTGAGCTACCATGTGGTTGCTGGGAATTGGACTCAAACCTCTGGAAGAGAGCACCTAGTGCTCTTAACAACTGAGCCATCTCTCCAGCCCAGGATGAGAATGTCAATTTATCAAGTTTTATGAAAATATTTTGAAGAAGTTCCCTTATAAACACTATGCCTATACTGACTGATTTCTATTTTCCACAGTGAAATGCTAAGCCCTTTAAATACATCACCTCCAAAACTTGGTTAGAAACTTACCATTAAAGGTAATTTTCATACTAATTACTTCCAATGAAAGAAAACAAATAAAAATCAAAAAGTAATAATCAACTAGAATTGAAAGCAAATCATGAGATGTAAAATTTCACATACATTTTATCATAAAAAAATACTATCAGACCATTTAAGTGTGACTTTAAAGTTTGACATGTTTATCTAAGTAATGTTATTTCAGGAAAAAATATGATTATTAACTATGGCTGACAAGTGACATTGAACTTTGTTTCTAGTGAGTCCTTATGAATAATTTTCAATTACGGTATGTATTTCTGTCTCACCTAGAGAACTGTAAAAACACATGCCACAACTCTAGAATTTTATAGGCTTTTGTCATGTCACAGGTAACAAAAGTACATAAAAGAATTCAGTTAAAGTGTCATTTATCCTAACTAGACAGTGTATAAAGAAGCAAGTCCTCCTCAGTGTAAATTTGTCATGAGGGGCAAGCTATGATCACTGCAGCATCTTGTCCACACACGCAGTGCCAGTGAGCAAGCGTCTGCACGGAGCACAACCAAAAATGAAAGGGGAAACTTCGACTGCCATTTCACTCATGAGAAGTGGTCCTTTAGAAAAAGTGAGATGAAAACGACATGGCTTTTACCTTGTGAGTACACGGTAGCAGTCTTGTATATTGACCAAGACAAAATGACTTCAAACAAAGTCGACACTGGTACCCCGGAGCAAGCAGCTTGCTGTTCTTTGTTATCAGCAGAAGAGGCAGGGCTTTTATAGCATGCTTTGGTGTGCAAAACTCACTGAATAAAGATAAACAGAGAGACCTGAGTGCCCATGTGGGATTACAGATGAGACAGTAACACAGGGCAAGCACAAATTTCTACGTACACAATACAATGGAACTGAGGTTTTCTTGAGTCAGAGATAAGTCTGTTGTACAGATCTTGAATCTGGTAGAGATGACTTCATAAGAAACACATTTCAATTTAGCCACATCAAGTAGTAGGAATATTAATGAAATTTTTGTTTATACTTTAAAGTCAGTAAAAGGAAAAATTCTCAGTCACAAGCTGAAATTATTTCACTTGGAGCAAGTAGTTAGACATACATTTATAAAACAAAAACTAATTTACTTGTCAATTGTAAGCTCAAACACACAAGGGTATTGATGTCAATTAGTTGATGACAATTTGTGAGATAATTTATTTTACTTACTCCAATATTGTTAGAGTAACAGTATAACTTTAAACATTGACGATTAACATAAAGGTATTCAGTGCCATTAGCAAGTGCTAATGCTGACAAAATATATTTTAAAAATACAAGCTTAGCTAAAGGAGCTATTTTGGATCATATTCATATAGTCACAGAAAAGTTAACACTTTGTGTTATTCTACAGATATATGTCCATAATGGTATAAAATTATTCCTTGTTTCAAAGATGAGAAAATGTGCAGAAAGAAGTGAAGTTTGTATCCCCAAACCACTTGACCATGCTTTACCAGGACTGGATTTGAGTAGACTTGCTCAATACCCTTGCTCTTCCACAGGATATGAAATATTACTTGGCATACATATACAATTTTTCAATAAATATGAAACCCAGGAACACATATAACCCATGCAAGTACAAAATTATTCAAAGATCCTGTAACACAAGAAGTGTAATCTTTGCTGAGACCCTCACCCTTGCTTTTCTTGAAGATATGGAGTATTTGTTTCTTCCTCGTTTTTAATATCTAAATATTTTACAACATCTGATCTTTTTCCTACTGATCGCCATCTTTGGTTTCTCTTCTGAAATAGGTGGAAAAATGAGCAGATGTTATTTTGTAATTCATAAAAATTATTTCTGATTAGATTATCAAGGTTATATATAGGTAATATTATATATAGGTAATATAATATTGTAAAATGCTCATTGTAGGAGTATCTACTTTATGACATTAAAATTATTAATTACTAGTGGCTCTCATGTCCTACTGTGAGGCTGCTAGAATCAACACTGAGGGTTTAATCAACAGACTGAGCTATACCCACTACTTTGAATTCATTAATTTATTTTTTATTTTAAAAAATGTTTCTTATTTTATGTGTATGAGTGTTTTTCCTACATATGTATCTGTGTACCACGTGCATGCTTGGTACCTACAGAGGACAGAGGACAACACCAGATCCCTTGGAACTGGAGTTACAGTAGTGTTCTGAGTCACCATGTGGGTCCTCCAGAAGAGCAGCAAATATCCAGATGAAAAATCTCTCTATCCTATTCTTTTGTAAACTCAGAGGTAGGATTTCCTAAGTTGTCCAGACTGTCTTTGCAATCCCCAGTCTTCTGAGCAGCTGGGATTATAGGCATGTACCACTATGCCCAACATTACTATTTCTCCTCTCCTATTTCCATTATTTTATTTAGTGTTCTCTCTGGTTCTGTCTCCCCATCCCTCTTTCTCTCTCCCTCTTCTTTTCCCTCCCTTCCTCTCTCCTGCTCCCATGCTCTCTGGGAGTATGTGTGTACATGCAATGGCACTTGCATTGAAGACAGAAATTAAATTACAGGAATAGGTCCTTTCTGTACCATGTAGGTCCCAGGAATTGAACTTGGATCACTAGGCTTAACAACAAACACCTTTACCCACTGAGCTGTCTTGCTGGCTTGTCCAGTTCCTCTTAATGTTAAGAATATTTTGATTATAATGATAGGCGTTTGATTGTTATGGTAAGAAAAAGGTTATTCAGCTTCAGGATGTATATGTATAATATAAATTTATACATTTAATGCTAGGTTTCACTAAGTAACTCAGACTGGCTTCAAATGTGGGACTGTCCTGCCTTAGCCTCCCAAGTGCTGAGATGACAGGTCTCTGTCACCACATCTGGCTTCAGGAGATACTTTTTTATCAACTATTTTTTTCTCCATTTTTTTTATTTGTATTAGAAACAAGATTGTTTTACATGTCAATTCCAATTCCCTCTCCTTCCCCTCCTCCCCTGCCCCTCAACTAACACCCTACCTATACCATACCCTTTCTGTTTCAGGAGATACTTTTAAAATGCACAGTTCAGCACTTGGGAGGCAGAGGCAGGCGGCTCTCTGTGAGTTTGAGGACAGCCTGGTCTACCGAGCGAGTGTAAGGATAGGCTCCAAAGCTACACAGAGAAACCCTGTCTCAAAAAAACTAAGAAAAAAAAGCATAATTCAGTGAATGCCTAAAAGTTCTAGGTATTATTACTGCGGGCAAGAGAAAATTATAATAGAAAACTATAATGATTGTCAGAAATGTTATAATAAGCTTGCCCACCGGCTAGGGACTCTATCACTCATTTTCAGGCTGAGGACTACAGTACCTGTTCTCAAAGTTTCCTGGTGATACACAGGGCTTGTTATTGTGATGGATCCTATAAAGCACCAGTGTGAAAATTGGTTGCTTTGTACACACTTGTAGGAGAATTGCTGAAGTAATTTTTAAAATAAAAATCAGTTAGTTTATTCCAGAGTGCTGTCTACGTTTCATGCTCTTAGGCTGACTGATTTTACAACATGACGGATGCCACATTCAGTTTAAGGTGGGCACCTTACCTCACGAAATGCAAAGGTGTGGGCAAGATGGCAACAGCTGTCAAAGCATTCCTGGCATAAGTGATACTCTACACACTCAGTGCACCTGAAACACAACACATTAAAACACAGGAGAGAGAAATCCAATCATTGCCTTGGTGTTGACTCAGTATCCCTCTAATGAATGATCCACACATGGCAAAGCTCACTCTGGCCGCATTGTGAATTAGTGTTCTATTGCTTCTGCAGAATTTCCTATAAATTTGTTAGCTAAAATAACACACAGTTATCAGACAGTTCTGCCCAAAGGCAGCTTGATGAGTCTCAAAAGGTTAAAAATAAGGTGTTGTCCTGGCTGTGTCACTTTCTGAGGCTGCAGAGGAACAGCAGTTTCCTTGGCTGTACCACATTCTAAAGGCAGCTTACACTTCCTAGCTTGTGGTAAGACCCCATCTTTATTGTAATTAACAGCACTATCTGCCTTTCTTCCATAACCATATTTCCTTGTCTGTTTCCCCTCCCTCTTCTACTTTCAAGAGCCCTTGCAATCATTCTGGATTTATCTAGGTTGTAGTCATCTTATTTAAAGGTCAATTGACAAGAAACGTTAACTCTATTGCAACCTTATTTCCCCTTAACTTGGAACCAGGTATTCAGGTTCTGTAATAAGCTTGTGGATTTATTTGGAGACTGTTGTTATTTTGCCTCCTCCATGTCCTTTCTGTGAGGCTTTTCCAGGTCTATTTAATCCCCAGTGATTTCTTTCTCTAGCATTCCATGGGACCTAAGCCCATAGACTTATGATTTGTCACATGAAGGATTGCACTTGGCAGGTTCTTTGCCCACAGAATCATATTCTTTTTTTCCTCCCCACAAAAGATAAATGTATGGAGTCTCAACAAGTACAAATACAATCTTAAAATATAACTTTTCTTAGAATCCCATTTCAAGCTTATGTTATTAGCAAAAGTTTTACCATATAAGATTTTAGTTTACTTGTCACAAAATTCACCAAATAAATATTGTGAGCATTAGTCAAATGAGTTTATTTTTAAATTCAAATTTTCTAATGCTTAGAAAGCAATTCCCCTGAGAAATAAGAAAAATATGTCCTCAGACATCTCAGAAGATGCAAGTATTAATTTATTTATTACTACTGTCCATATGTATGGATCCTTGGCAATTCATATCACAAACCAGCAGTGCTGCAATTCTCTTGGTACATCAGAGTAGGCTGGGATAAAAACCTAAGTAACTGCACTTTAACATACATCTGATGTTTTATGAACTAACCTAAAAGATGAATCAGTGCATCGTGACACACTAATGAAGAGGAAACTGCCAAATCAGCTTTTGGGGCTTACAGAAATGTCTGATACTTGAAGGAAAGAGTGGAAGATGGAGTCACAAATGTCACAGATATAGCTTTGATTTGTAATTGAAAAATAAGAAGAGACTGAGCCTGGAGCAGGGGAGCATGACACAGAAAGAATCAACTTAGCCATTTCTGGAAGACAGAAAACAGACAAGACTCTGCAAAGGAGCTGACCATCCTCAACAAATCCAAGCCAACAGTGGTTGACCAGCTCTCGTTGAATCAGCTGAGCCGCATGCACATTAAACCTGTAGAAATACACGAGTAAAGGGCCAGGAATTTTCTGCTGTGTCCCATGGCTCCTCTTCCCAGTCTTCTCTCTCACAGATTGTATTTGGTGCTTAACTGTTCCAATCCACTGTCATGAAAATGATTAAACTGTCCACACAACAGCTACCGAAAGACCACCGTTCTAGAACCAACATTCCTGAGCTAGCCTACCTCATCCTAAATGTCTGTACAACTTCTGTCTTGCTCGAGTTAAATGGCTCCTTAGCATCCTCTCAGGCCAGCCATTTCTGTTAATGATATTTTCTTCTGTATAGCACAGAAAGCAGTCTTAAAATTGAAGAACACAGGTATAAAGTACTATTGGAATTTTTAAAAAACATTCTTGTTTTATCAGAAAGTTACAAAACATATTTAATTTGGCTCATCATAGTCTAACTTCAGAAAACAGAAAAGTAGATTGATATATTTCAAGAAAATTGTAATGAAGATTTTAACAAAACATTTAAAAGTATATAAGCAAATTAAATTTTTACTTAAGAAAATGTAGTTACCAAAGCATAGCACTTGTGTAGTTGTGGTAGTCATAGGTAGGTGTAGGGGTTACACATAAAATAGTCAAACTGTTTCCTCTACTAATAGTATTGCTTTTGTTATCACTGAGATAAATATGAATGAAAACAAAACCAATGCTCAAAGTAGATGGAACACAGTCTGTAATCTGGGGTGATTGGGAATGGGTAAAAAATTCAGCCAATTTCAATACTAGTAGGAGAATTTGGCAATGACCCCTCATCCATAGTCCACAGTATTATAAGATGTGAGATTTCTAGCAGGACTCTGAACATGGAAACTCACAAAGTAAGCCTAATGTCGGAGCTTCCAGATACTGCTTCACAGCCAGCCCACACGAGAATGCAAAGCTAATGCTCTTGCTAAAGTGAGGAAAATACAAAGAAATCCCAAACAAGCTGCCATCACACAAAGCAAGTATGAAGGCGAGAGAGGGCAGCTTAAAGCCAGATGCCCTGCTGTGCAGAGTTAGGACTTTGTGGGAGACTTACTTGTAGCATCTCCCCTCGATCGGCAGTTGTTTGCAGTTATTGCAGGGAATTCCGAGGTGCTTGTCTAGTCGTTCTTTCTCAGATATGGTCATAAGTTTGTTAGAGTTTCGGAATTCCTCCAAGATAAGTTTCAATGGTGCAAACTCCTCCCTACACAGTGGGCATTTCACCATGGAGCTGTTTGACACTGTAGCTTGATAACTAGACAAGATCTTCATGCATTTTATATGAACGTTATTGCCACAGCCAAATCTATCAGAAATAAAATTCAAGTCTATCACTCATTGTATGTATTTGTTAGAAATGCTTATTTAAATTAAAAATCTCTTTGGGACCATCTTTATTCCTTATGAAAATGCACTGTGAACTCATTTCTAGATATAGCTGGATTACAAATAAACAAAATATACTTTGCCATCTTTACCAGAATTCCAAATATAAAATTCTCTCCATTTAAAGGAAATGGTAAAAAAAATTTCATCATAAAATTATGTTTCATTCATAAGGCCTGAATGAGAGTAGCTTCAGCACAAAGGAAAATGAAAACGGCAATTCTTTAAATAGAGGGTGGAGTGAGTCCTACCCCCCTTTCTCTCTTTGAGAAATCATGTAGTATCTTAATCATTTGAGCAATCAAATCATTTACTGGGAAAAATTACATTGGGGAAGTAGTTAGTAGTTTTTCAATACTCAATAAAAGCAGACACATAGAAACTTGCAAAATAGGAGTCAACTATTTGGACGTATACAAGAGAGAAAATGAAGAGAATTCCAGCAGCAAATGGCTACTCCAATTTTTAAAGTCCAACTTCTGAGTGCCGTGGAAAATAGTATGAATGAGATTCTCTCAGTGAGGACTTTTACTAAGTAAAAATTTCAACCATTTAAGTTAGAAGATAGAAGTTCTTAAAAATTGAAAACATTGTTTATAACTTCAAACTAAAACAATCGTTACATTCAGAAAATATTGTTGCAATCGTATCATTTTCACCCTCTATAAAGAAAAATCAAGGGCTGGTGAAATGGCCAAGTGAGTAAAGGCTCTTGGTACCCATGGATCTGAGTTCACACTGGTCACTGAAACACCTGAGGCAGGAGGAGAAAATAAACCTCTACAAGGTGTCCTCTGAACAAGGCATCCCATAAGACACGTATTAGGAAACAAAAGAACACAAAAGAAATAGGATTAGACACAGTGGAAGCTTTCATTTTGTCTCTCAAGTAATCTCACAATGTAACTTTGGAAGATTATCAGACCACAGGGCTGGAGAGATGGCTCAGTGGTTAAGAGCACTGGCTGCTCTTCCAGGGGCCCTGAGTTCAATTCCCAGCAACCACATGGTGGCTCACAACCATCTCTGATGAGCTCTGGATCGGTCATTTGGCCTGCAGGTATCTATGCAGGCAGAACACTGCATACATGATAAATAAATAAAAATCTCTAAAAATAAGAATATTAGACTAGAATTTTCTTAAGACTTTAGAATCCAAAGACAAACTGATCACCTGCAGAAGGTGACAGGGAGTTTCTTCTCCAGCATCACCTCTTGGCAGATAGGGCAGATGTCCTCTGCACTGATGGCTTTCTGTTTAAGGCAGCCATCTTCTTTCACATGTGCAGTCTTATCACTTGCCCCAAGCTTGGGGCTTTGAACCTGATGTATCCCCCGTAGCAAGTCATTGATTTCTCCTTCCACAAGACCCAACTGGAAAGCAGCTAGCGAAAGATATCAAAGCTTAAGAATGTGGTGGCAAGAAAGGAAACACGAAGATATAATAGGATGAGTTATGATTTTCTTTCAAATATCAAAAAGATAGTCCTGGTTGGATTATTAGAGTCACACTGACCACTGCTTTGTACTCTATTTGGAAGAAAAAGGTTAGAAAAGAGTGATTTATAAAAAATAATGCACCCCCCTCTCCCATTTTGTTACTAAAAATAGGGCCGGATGCATCCATCACAGGCTTGAGATGTGATAATGTTAACCCTGGGTTTGACATGGTAACATTTTGGTCTTTTCATGTGTCAGTAGGCAAATACCTCATCAATATACAACAGTATTAAAACAAGGGCTGGAAAAATGGCTCATTAATTAAGAGCACATATTGTACTTGCAGAGGGCACAGGTTTGGTTCCCAGCACCCTTGCAATTACAGCTCCAGGGATTCCAATACCCTTTTCTGGACTACATGAACACCCCCATCTTGGGCATACACACAGAGACACATACACATTTAAATGAATTAAAATAAACCGTAAGTAAGAAGACATAAAGGGGAAATAGGGGCGAGTGAATAGGTACATAAGGCTGTGTTTGTGAAATGGGTGGATGATGCAGAGGTAGATTATTTGTGCCTACTTTCCTGTTTTAGCTTTGTATCCATAGAGAAGAGTGCTCTGGTCATCTAGGTCATGTCAGACTTGAACAGTGTTTTACAGGACAGCCTATTAGGCACCGAATTGCCTGCCCCTGGGGCTGTACATTCTCGAGTTATGAATTTTCTCCATCCTGCTATTCTTACAATCAACTGGGTTGTATGTAGTTTTGGATGTATGTAGTTTGTAGACTTCTCCCCATCCGTGGCTCCTCCCCTGCTCACCCCCCTCTCCCTGACACAGCATAATTTAAATTTTAGTTGTTAGTACTCCCCCGAGTTCTGTTTATTTTGTATATTTTAAATACATGTAAGTTAAATATTATATGCAAGAGTGTGAAAGCCCTGTTTTCCTGGAAAGTCTCCCTTCCAACTAAACACTGAAAAGGAACAGCAAACAAAAAATGTTATTTTCGTTTCAATAAAGGAGGCTTTGTTTCTTATCTGAGTTTACGTGTCAGGTGCAGGTGGACTGTGGGAGGAAATCACACTTTAATTACCCAGTACTTGGAGGAGGAGGGTTATTTGTCATAAAGAAACAGCAACATCTGCCCTCTTAAAAAGAAAAAAAAAAGGAATTTCATAGAAGAAGCTGTCCAGGAACTGTTCTGTGTGTATAGTATTAATTAGAAAGTACAAGAAGCACTTGAGATCATATGGAAAAGGTAATGTATGAGACCAACGAGAATATTCTGCAGGATACTAACAAGGCAGCTAGCCTTGTCAAACAACCTCAATCCATCACACAAATAAAGCATTACTTACTGAATGTTCCTATGCTCTTGTGAACATGAGGCAAACAGAACATTTGCATATTTATTAAGTTTTATTTAGTGTGTGCGTCTCCCTACTTGCAAGGCTATCACCCATATCCTCATTTGTTATTTGGATTTCCTCAAATTATCCTTTGACTGTTTATTGGAATGAAACTGAAAATTCTTTTAAAACATTTCAGAGACTACACTTCTTTACAAATGTGTTCCTTATGTTTCTTCCATGGCTCTATTAATTGTTTTAAACGTATGGCTTGTTGGTACTGTTAAATTCTATTTCTTTTTTCTTTTCATGTGGATTGTTTCAATCCTTTCAAACCTATCTTTTTTATATAATGGTAATAGTCTTTGAAAAAAATTGCTGGCTCTTCTGTTGTTTTGATGGCATCCACATGTGTCTGTGTTGGTTCAGGTCGGAGGACGGTGTTTGGCTTGAATTAATCATCTCTGCATCACCACACAGTTGCCTCAGTAAATTATCGAGAAAAGATTATTTTATCCTTCCTTCAAGTGAATTAAACTAAGAATAAGGCAGAGACATTAGATGAAATCTATTAAATAAATAATAACAAATGAACATATAAGCTTTCTAAATTTAAAAAGTTATTGGAGGCATTTTGGATTTATGTATCGAATGTCTGCCATGTGGAAGAGTGGAAACAATTCCCCTGCTTAATTTAGTAGGCATGAATAAATGACTATGAACTTGCATCTGCCATTCTTTACATTTTGCATGACTTAGTCTGCTTTGTCCTAAAGTTAGTAATATTAACACATCAAAATGTTTTTACATATCCTTATTTGTACTAGAGATTTAAATATGTAGTTAGTATCTTTACGTTCTATTAAACATGAACACAGAAAAACATTTATACATTTCTGAACTCATTGTAAATCAGAAAAAGTATTTGAAAGAGCAATTTGCATGAGAAGCTAGCAAAAATTTTAACATGTCTATTGAAAAATTAGTGATCTGTTGAAACAAGAAAGTTTCATCTAAAATATACAAAGTAGAAATGAACTAAGTATTGAATAATAGAAGGTTAATTTTGATATGCCATATTCAGTGGAATATTAGTCATTTGGTAAATTTATGACAAATACATAGAATTGAAAATAGGAAATTGTGTGAGAAAAGCAGAATACAGAATTCCAACAAAACATGTTTCTGTATGTATACACATATATATTTATGTTTATGCATACTTTTATAAAATTATAAAAGCAACATAGAAAATAAGGTTCTATATATTCTTATGGTGGTAATTTGAAAGTTTCTTTTTTAATGTGGTTTTGATTTCATCTATAAATAATTTAATAAAAGAACAGATGACTTTATATATCATTTCATTCAAAAGAAACCACTAGATGATATATTTAAGTTTGATTAGGAATATACTTTTGGGAGAAACAGGTCTGATGTTTAAAATTATTTCATTAGGAAGAACAAAATTTCAAAATTAATACATAGACAATCTAAATAATCTTATACTTTCTGTATTAATAGTTAGAAAAGCAATAGCTTCTACCTTTAAGAAGTAAAAAAAAAAGCCCACATGAATTATTAGAATGATCCATATATAAATGCTGTTTTGAAGTGAAAACATTGAAATATTAGCAATTCACATGATTCAATTCATAATATGTGTTTAACACACATACTTAAAGCTATGCTGTTGAATATTAGCCACTGGCCATAGGAACTGTTACATGCCTGGATTTAGTCAATGTGGCTAAAAAAAAGTGAATTACTTTTATAGCTGATGATCTGTAGTTAACAAAAGTTTTATGACTATGTTTGTGATGACTTGAGTATTATGTAGGTCTATTTTTCTTTTTGTTGTTTATTTTTAAATTAGCATACAAAGCAATGACATTTTCATACACTAAACTACAGGCAAATCAAATGTTAGCAATGGAAATATAGTGTTCCAGTACAGATCCTGAGAAGTTAAAACGCATATACTAGATTTTGAAGACAGAACAAAAATGAAAGAATAAGTGCTTCTAATTTCTATTCCAATTGCATAATGGCATTTTATTTTGCTGTATGGGGCTAACTTGAAATATGTTGTTAAAATTATTTCTGTTACTTATTAATTTTATAAAACTGCAGTTACAAAATGGCACATATGGCTCATCTTGTATTTCTGTTCTTCAACTGAAATATGGAAGCTTGTGAAATGATAAGGAAAAACAATATTAAGAATGAAACTTTCAGAGGATCAACATTTAACTTAAGGTTGAAGTAGAAAAGAAAATATGTATGAGATCATACAACCTTGCTATCATGCAAGAAAGGATTTGAAATGATGACCAAGGAGGTACAAAGTGCAGGCTGTGAACACCGGTGAAGCTGTGGAGAATAGGAACAAGGACTTAAGATGGTTGAACATCGGTAGGAACACCACAGGTAGGAAGAAACAGGATCTGTAGAATGACTAGACATGGAAGAAGAGTATGAGAGAACAAATAAAGATTTGCATGATTTCTAGGTTTAGAGAGGAAATCACAGGGGAAGTCAGTATGTGTGGTGTTCAAAGAAGAATGGTCCTCATAGGCTTCATCACCAGGTGCCCTCCTGACTGCTGGGATTAAAGGAGTGCACCACTATGCCTGGTTTAGCCAAAGTAGTTTTAAATGTAATATGTGTCATAGTAATTCTGGTATCTGAAAAATTCTATTTATTTTACAAAAAATTTGTATATGAAACCACTATAGACCTTTGCTTAGGATAAGGTAAATTATTTTCTTCCAGATAATGCCATTGTTTCATCTCTGCTTTTCTAATTTAAATTTTGTGCAAACTTTCAGGAAACATTTGTTATTTCATGTCAGTTTTTGTGAACTTTCATTATTAATGTGTGCATGCGCCTTCAGGTGAGCATGTACCACAGTTTACATGTGGGGTCCAGAGGACATTTCAGGAGTCCTGTCTTTCTTCTCACCATGTGGGTTCAAGGACTGAATTCAAGCCCTGGGGCTTGCAATGCAAGCAATTCTACCTGCTGAGCCATCTCTGTGGTCCTCATCCTTGTTTTTATTAAGAAACTGAATTTTAATGTGATATATGTTTGCATTTTAATTTAAGAAGAAACCGTTTCAACTTGAAGTGTAAGAAGTTTGGGGAGAAATAGTTACTAGATTTTTTAGGAAAATAAGCATTTGAGTTTAGAATATGCTTATGTAATAAAACCCTTTTAAAAAAATTTCAAATTAGTAAAGGATTAGAAATAAAAAGGCAGAAAAACTTACATTCATGATCCCTTGGAAGCTTGAATTTTTTCAACAACACCCTAATATTCACAAGTAGAAAAAATTAAAACATTTATTTTGATATGATCTTAATACATACTACTTAAACATGTAGACTATAAGGAGATTTCTTTGATTTGCAATGCAAAAATGTTAGGAATAAACAAATTAATTTTATGCTAATCATAGTTGTGTTTGAAAATAAGTTGATGCTGAAATTGACAAGCAAATTATGTCTGTGCCAAAGAGTTTGATGAGAGAGAGACAATGCATTTACTTCTCACGACACAGTCCTTCTAACGATAGTAAAGAAATCCAGATATTCACAATACTTTAACTTCATAGCAAGTGAGTACCAAGTAATTGCATTTCCACATCTACCATTTTAGTGCACAGCAGAAAACTTTCAACTCTCACTAACTAAAATTATGACTTTAGAAGAGGGAGGAAATACATAATTTAAAAATATATATAACAAATGTGCTTCAGCATTAATTACATTAATATTAACAGGCACTATATACTTAGATAATATTTGTGTTTAGTTTGTGGTTAAAATATTATATGGAATGAGTTGTGGCATATTAAAATCAGAAAAAGAATGACCATACGCTGCATTGTCATAAAATGTTATTAGAGACACCTACCATGAGTATTATAGTGAAACATTGTATATTTGAAAGGACAATACCTTTATCTTTCTTTCAGATACAGCCAATAACCTGTGATAACAGAGGTTCAATAATAGGTGACCAAAATGGAACAGTCCCAAACCTGGTAATTAAAGGCATTAGAAAACAAGATGTACAGGTGTGTGCTGTCATGCCTGGTTATAAGTTATAAGAATGTATTTCCTGGGTCTGCAGAGACAACTCAGTGGTAACTAACACTTATTCTTACAGAAGACCTAGGTTCAGTTCTCCACACCCACATCACAGTTCACAACCATCTGTAACTTCAGTTCCAGGGGATACAACATCCTCTTCTGACCTCTGTGGGTACCAGGTACCCACGTGGTACATAAACATACATACAGATAGGGGACACACACACACACACACACACACACACACACAAACACACACACAAAACCATCTAAAATTTGAAAAACAATTTTAAAAGGGTGTATTAACTGATTTGTTCATATAGGAAAGCAAATCAAACTTAAGTAGAGTCTATTAAATGGTGAGATTGTCTTCTACGTGAGGAAAATGATTACCCAATACATAGTTTTCCCTAACACTGTAGAAGTTTCAAATTTGAGAGAAAACCTTCAATTAGAGTCCTCATTTTTATCTCAAAGTATTCAAAATGAAAGTGAAAATTGCCTGAAACCTGTTGTATAGAAAGCAACACGATTTTCATGATAGTGGTATTCAGGAGGCAGGAAGTTGTTGAAGAAAGTAATATCTCAAGAGTAATCTAGATTTTTATCAGCAGATCTCACATTTGTGCAATAAAATGTATCAATATTTGCTCTACTTTGTATTACTAAAGGTTTCTTTATTGATTTACTCACTTTTCAGACTGAAATGGAATACTTGGAATATTAAGAAACACATTGGTAAAGTATGGCCACTTTAACTTTTAATCCCAATACCAAACTTCCTTATTCTTGCTGAATTCAAACCCTGAAAAATGGTAAGACATGTTTCTTTGTGGAAGACCGTTGCTAGCAGTCACTCACCAGCATATGTGCTTACACAGTTCCCCCCTCTTCAGAAACGCCGGACAGTTGCATTCATGAGGGTTCCCTAGCAAAACCTTTAAAATAAAAGACAGAAAAATAAAAATATCCCAGCTAATTATATAGAGTTAGGATAAATCTAAGTTGATAAATAACTAGATTAAAAGAGATTTAAAGCATTAATTCGGTTTAGTAATTCCGAACTGCATCTGTGATTGACTAGGACCTGAGAAACACTCTTTCTTGACATTCTAGCCTGGGTTTCCAGTTCTGTATTCTTTACCTTGGTCAACAACTGGCACTATGAATTAACACTTTTTTTTTAAGAACATCTGTACTGAGGTGATATTAAATCTAAAATGAAAAGCTTTCGCTCCAAACCATCGCTTTAAGGGATAGAGTTAAAGGCGTTTGCCTCTTGTAAGATGGTGTTTGCTCACTCTGGTGGGGGGAAGGGGATCTGAACTTTATTTTCATTGGAGAATATTAGATTTATTAAGACTATGTAGTCTAAAAACTGTTCGTTAAACTCAATAAACTGTGTAATTAGCGAAGTAAAAGAGCTCGCTTTGAACAAAGTACAGAATGACAAACTGCATCCAGTACTCAATTATGAGACGAGTTCGAATTTCTAAAGCAACTGGGAAGTGTTCAGTGGCTCATCTTTGACAGACAAGAGTACATGTAAATATGAAGCGTGTGTTCCCTTTCCGCAAAATGAAAGGGAGCTCTTATTCATTCACAGGTTTTCAAAGTATTAACATTTAAACTACCCTTTGATGAACTGTTAGGGTTTTAAAAGCGAGTAAAAAGAGTATTAGAGAGAATCTGACTTTAATTTTTAAAAGATAGTAGGATTTTCATTTGATTTACAGGGCTAGTGACCACTCACAGGCTTCAGGAATGCATATACTACAAACGAAATATTCATGTAACCCTCTCCTATATTTGTTTTTGAAATCAAGATTCAAGGTCCATCATCTTACAGGAGTTGGAGGCAATTCAAGCTCCGGACTATCAAGAATAATCTAAAGAAAAATCTTTTCTGGTAAATACTATTTCCTTTTGCATAGTTTTAAAGTCTGGGGAGCACTTGTTGGAATGAGTCCTCTGGTGAGGCCCATGTGTGTTCATGGTTGTGGAAGTTGGCTTAACTCGCCTCCTCTATGCCTCTCCCCTCCTCCCCATCCCCCAAGTCCCCAAGGAAGATGGGTGGTGAGGTCGTTACTCGGAAATCCCCCTTTTCTGGCTCCTCCTCCCTCAATAGAAAGCCGATGGGGCCGATCTGTCTCAGGAGATAGATGCTGCTACTCAGCGCTTGGTCTTGCTGCCAGCTGAGGCTATCATTCAAGTGTCTTCGCCTTTCGGAGGCTTTACAGCCTCTCCGAAGCATCCCTGGCCTGAGGCGCCCTGAGCTAGGCTTTCTAAGGCGCCTTGGGTCTCTATGGTAACAGCGTGCAGCGGGTTGTTGCCTTGGTGACGGTAGCTCTGTCCTAGGCGCCACAGTGTGCCTTGCTGTAGTTGGGGTGGGAGAAATTCCTGAAGTCCACCCACAGACTTTCAACACCTGGGGCCACAGGCACAGTTGCAAACCCCTTGTTCTTTTTGCTGATTTGCTCACAGAACTGGTGAGATAAGTTCGTTAGCGCCGTCGCAAACCCTGTTACAGTGTGGGCTCCCGAGGCGAAAGTTACACTCAGCGTGTTTTTCATCCATAACCAAAAAAATCAGCATGATGGCTGACGTTTAGAATTCCACAAACGTTTTCCAGTGGCTCACAACAGCATACAATGAGTAAGTCGCTGAGGGAAGATTGAAAAAAAATAGGGCTAAATAGGGCTAGCCTTAGCCAGCTCAGCTAGGGGTGTGTGTGTGTGTGTGTGTGTGTGTGTGTGTGTGTGACTGTGTGTGACTGTGTGTGACTGTGTGTGTGTGTGTGTGTGTGTGTGTGTGTGTGTGTGACTGTGTGTGGGTGCGTTGGTCTTAAAGCTAGGAGAAACTTAAGTTACTTGTTGGGGTTGGATATTTGATGTGTATCTACAGCCTCTAAAACTTAGAAATCTCTATTTTAAGGTGTAAGATGTTATTTCAAGGTATGTAAGGTTGACCCAACAATCTACAAGTTGTTTCTGAACTTTGTTTCTATCTTCTGAGTTGAGATATTAATCAACAGTTTGAGCCATGGTTACTGAACGAGAAACCATGTTGCTGGATTCTCTTCAAGAAACTGAAAGCAGGAGAGAGCTCTGCTTGGTAGCTGGGTTACAGGAACAAGGAAGGCATCAACTCAGTCTTATCAGGGGAGGAAACAGCAACTAGATCAAGTCAAATCCCCCAAAAGAAAATGGTAGAAATCCCACCCCAGTGTAAAAATGCTGGTTAGGGCTGCTTGACAAGATGTGAGCTGTCTGCATAAACACCATGGGACCTCAGGTCTAAGGCTTTCTTAGTAAGTAATGAAGGACTAACAGTTACACTACCATACTTGCAACATTAGCATCCATCAAACACATCAGCAAAGAAAAACATTATATATTAAGAAAACCCTTTTAAGTTTGTTAAGAGAACAAGATAAATTGTAAATTCATTTTATATAATAGCATTTATTATTTAAAAACTCAGAATAAATGAATGTCAATTCATATTTTCTATGTAACAGAATGAGGCAGGTTTCATATTGAAGATAGTTTATGTAGTCACTGTTCACCCATCATCCTCCATGTGCCTGAATGTGTGTGTATGTATAAAGTTATTTAGGAATTTAAAAATCAAACATCAATAAATATTTAAGCTGTTGAATTTTATTTAGAATGATATTTGTTTCACATGTGATAAATACTATTTTTGAAAAGGTCACGTGTTTAAATTATAAATTGTATAAATTGACTATAGTTCCTTAATTCCATTTTGAGGAATGGCAAAAGTAACAATATTCATGTTCTCATGGGAGTTAAAAAGAGAAAGTACAGATTGCTAAACAGAACTGTAGTCTAGCTGCATGACATTTGTTTTTGTATCTGACAGTTAAAACTTTAGAAACAGCTTTAGAATCAGGTCCCATATGTTTTCTTCATCTTTTGAAATTTTGATGACAGGAGTAATATTTTTGCAAATGTTTTAACTTGGACAATTAAACTTTCTCCTTAAATTTACACTATTATCCTTTATGTTATATGTCAAGGCATATTTTCCCCCAGGGAAATTGTTTGAGCTTCATGGATTGATAAATCTGTTTAATGAATGAATTATTAATACAATTGACTATAGAAGACAGGTTAATAAATTTCTGTATCTCCAATTGAGACTGGAAAAAGCTAGACTTGCAGTGTTAGCATAGAAGGAATAATAGTAATTGAAGGCAGAGCGAGAAGGCAGTTGCTATCTCAACATGGATGTGTGTAAATAGCCTACGAGTGATGACCACTGAGATAGGTTGGCAATGACTGAGCACACCTGGGACTGATGTTTGTGGGGAAATACTTTAGGAACAGAGCTGGCGGGGCTAATCTACTAAAAATCTTCATTTTTTTTTGCTTTGCCTTACATATAGGAATATGCTGAGGTATTGAAGGAAGAAAGGTAAGTGAACTGGGTATAATGCTTGGCTTCTGTCCTGGCTGATTTTGTGTCACCTTGACATAAGCTAGAGTCTTCTGAAAGGAGGGAACCTCAATCATAGAAAAGAGGCTTCTATAAGATTCAGCTGTAGTGCATTTTCTTAATTAGTGATTGACAGAGGAGGGCCCAGCCCACTGTGGTTAGTGCTATCCCTCAACTGGTGGTCCTGGGTTTCAGAAGAAAGCAGGCTGAGCAAGCCATAGGAAGCAAGCCTCTGCATCAGCTCCTGCCTCCAGCTTCCTGCACTGTTTGAGTTCCTGTCCTGACTTTCTCCAATGATGAACAGTGATGTGGAATAGTAAGTCAAAGAAACCTTTTCATCTCAAGCTGCTTTGATCATGGTGTTTCATTACAACAATAGTAATCTTGACAAGGCCAGCTTAGAATGATTAAAGGCTTACAGAAACTATTAGAGTTTGTTTTCCTCTAGTAAATATGCACAAAAGAAAAGAGGAGATACAGAATTCATTAAGCTCAAGACAGAACCAGCAGAACCAAGGACTCCAATAGAAGGTACCCACATGATATATTTAGAAAAGTAAAATAGTTTGTTACAGTGTAACTGTGTAATTTACACCGTGTAACTGTGTAACCATAGTGGACACCAACAGGGAACACCCACTGCAGAAGTGACTAGTAAGGATCTAGAAGACATTTATGAATTTAAGACCCTTAACTTAGTTATTAGACTCAAATTTCCACCCACTTTAATCTCCTTATGCCCTTTATACCTTCTTGGAGAATACAGAGTGGCATGTTTGATAGTTTTAACTGTCAACTTGACACAATCTATAATCACAGGGAGTGAGAATGTCAACAAGGAATTTCCAGATAAAGTTGGCCTGTAGACATGCCAGTGAAAGTGAAACAGTCAAGCTGAGTGATAAGGCATGCATCTATTCCCTTTCCTTGATGGTAGATGTGGTGTGACTAACAGCTTTCTGTCCCTGCTATGATGGAATCTAATTTGGAATTCTGACCTAAAATAGCTTTCTCTTTCATTGCTCTTTGTCTGGGTATTTTAATCACGGCAAAAGAAACGAAAAATAGAATGGATTAAAAAAATAAATTCTAAACTTTTTTTCTCTATTGATTAAGATGGCCTTAGCACTCCACTTAACTCACCTAAACCTTAGACCATTTTCCCTGCTGGATTCAGGTCCCTGATTTTCCTTGCCTTTCCTTGGAGCAATACTTTAAAAGTTTTCCAATGGAAAATCCTCACTTCTTTGAGATGCAAGCATTCTTCTAGCCTCTTGATGGTATCAAAACCCAGTAAAATTCTCCTGAAGAATATGGGCACTACCTTTTTAGTAAAGGATTATCCAGAAAGAGAGACTCCTAACGCCACCCTCTGTGGCAGTGCAATCCCTATTTACTAAAATGTCAAGTAATAGACACAATAGCAGAGTCCCAGTGACTAACTTCCCTCTTCTCACATAATGAGGCTTTTCCACTAGCTCATCCAAATGGTCAAAAATTCCTTTTTATCTCAGTGCAATTGAGTTTTGTCTCTCTCCTTATTGAAATAGCATTTCATGAAGTCTTATATGCCTACTTAACTCTACCCAGCACAATTTTTCTTTGACAATTGATATTATTTAGCTAAGATTGTTTAATTGTTAATCACTAAATTACATTTAGCAAGGATTTTTCTTCTTGTTGTAATTAAGGAGAATGTGAAGGGATCAGCTCCCCATTTCAGCAGCCATAACAGCCTAGCACGTGCTTGCCTGACCTTGCCTTGGTCACTAGGAGGTCAGATGCCTGCCTCGTGGCAAGGAACCAATCAGAAGTTAGCTGGTGGTGCTATGCTTTACAGCTCTGGGTGTGCTTTACAGGCAAGTGCACAGCAATGAATTGCAGAGCATAGCAATCGCCCTGGGAGGGCCTATGGGCCATAACAACCAGTTGACCAATCAACACAGGGCAAGCCTGGAGGCACACCAATCCTGAGCCTGTGTGTACCCCTAGACACTCCCCTTATGTTGCCCTATAAGATTTATATGCATTGGATTTGCAGCATCTTTCCTAGCCATCCACCATGGTGGATGGGTAAAAGGCCCTAGCTAACATGGAGTTAGCTCCTTAAACAACTACAATAAAGCCTCATGCTGTTTGCATCAAACTTTCGCCTCCACTCAGTGTTTGGGGTGGCCTCAGTCCTGAACCAAGACCCTGGGGCCCTAGCCTCCCGGGGTCTTACAAATGGAAGCTAGCAAAGGTGACTGAGTCATTCATAGGGTAAAATCTATTCCCATGTTTCACAATCAAGATACAATAGAAATAAATTTGAAATTCAATGTATTATTAGAACTTTTAATTCAAGATGCCACACTGAGGGGGCTGGAGAGATGGGTCAGAAGTTAAGGGCACTGGCTCTTATAGTGAACTTATAGAGGAGTGTCTAGGGGTACACACAGGCTCAGGATTGGTGTGCCTCCAGGCTTGCCCTGTGTTGATTGGTGTACCCTATGTATAAATTCTGACTATGTATCTCCTACATTATTATTATTAGTAGTATTTGTTTCTGCTCTGGAAGCTACTAGAGTATGCGATAGCTGTAATCATAGAAGCAAACAAATGAAGAGAGTGTCCCAGCCACAAGGAATCCAGGAAGATAACAGTGTCCAGGGTGTCTGGTACACAAGTGTCTAAGACTGAAACAGTTCAGAAATCTCTAGACTTGTTATTTTCAAGTAGAACATGTTGGTAGAAAAGAGGATGCCTCCAAAGTATTGAGTAGACTTCCTTTTAAGACAGTTCCAGAGCTTC